AACTTTAAAGGCAAACGGTTCAACATGATGTTTGATAACAATATGAAAAAACACGATTTGAAATTTTCGATTTTTTTTGTCAATCGAATTGAAGATAGACTCCGAAATAACGACATTTGCGTAATTTGGAGCGAAAATGTAATACAAAAAAGCATACATTGTAATATTCGTTGAGTGCCACTAAAAAATATCCACACTCATCTAGTGCGTGAGACGCATGGTCACTCATTTAGTGAGTGAGACGCATGCGGATGGGATGAAGCAAAGCGAAAGGGAAGCGCGCAACTAGAACATAGAGTCAATGGGTACGACGTGTTTGTGTTTGTGGCCGTATTCTAACGAAGGAGTGATGAAATGTATGCGCGCTATATCGTTCGTTCATATGGAGTTGCCCGCTTCTCTTTCGCTTTGCTTCATCTCATCCGCGTGCGTCTCACTCACTAAATGAGTGACAATGCGTCTCACGCACTAGATGGATGTGGATATTTTTTTTAGTGGCACTCACCGAATATTACAATGTATGCAAAAAAGTTACGCGGGAAAATGTCGATGAAGAATGAGCGGAAAAGGAACAGCTATATAGTATACTGTATAGCAAACTATAGTGAACTATATAATTCTTTTCATTTGGCATTTTTCTGCGCAACTTTTCTGTATTACATTTTCGCTCCAAACTACTCATTTCATTTTGCTCCGATATGTTTATATTTTAGGTGATGTGTCCAAAATGAGATCATTGATCAGCGAAGGAATAAATATGAGTATTCAACTTGATAACGGAGACACTCCAATACATTTGACTGCTGGAAAGGGTAACACATTCCTATGAAATATGTTTGTGTGTCATTCAACTTAAAGTGTTTTTTTCCTTACCATTGGTTAGACAATGTTGATATAGTAAAATTACTCATTGATGAGGGTGTTAGTCCGAACATTTTGAAAAGCGATAATTCCACACCGCTTCACGACGATGCCCAGAGTGGTAATTGCACTTTTATTTCAAATCAAAATCAATGGTTTTACAGATGGACAAAATCCGTAAAGTATTAGATAGTCTAAACTCATATTTCCAAATACAAACAATTTTTTGATTTAGTTCCTTTTCCAATCCAGGAAAAGATGAATCTATTAAATTACTCATTAAATACGGCGCCGACGTCAAAGCTACAACCAAAAACAGAGAGACAGCACTTCATTATGCTGCAGTGCGAGGTGATCGTTTGAACTCTTACTTCCAAACATAAACAATTTTTTGATTTAGTTCATTTTGCAATCCAGGAAAAGATGAATCTATTAAATTACTCATCGAACACGGCGCCGATGTCAATGCCAAAGACAAGGATGGATTGACAGCTCTTCTTTGGGCTTCACAGGCAGGTAATTGTCTAAAATACTTAGTTCAAAATGCAAACAAGCTTTTGATTTAGTTCCTTTTGCAATCCAGGAAAAGATGAAACTATTGAATTACTCATCGAACACGGCGTCGACGTCAATGCCAAAGACCACTTTGGACGGACAGCACTTCATGGGGCTTTTTGGGGAGGTTATAGTCCAAACTCATATTTCCAAATACGAACAATTTTTTGATTTAGTTCCTTTTGCAATCCAGGAAAAGATGAATCTATTAAATTACTCATAAAATACGGCGCCGACGTCAAAGCTACAACCAAAAACAGAGAGACAGCACTTCATTATGCTGCAGTGCGAGGTGATCGTTTGAACTCTTACTTCCAAACACAAACGATTTTTTGATTTAGTTCCTTTTGCAATCCAGGAAAAGATGAATCTATTAAATTACTCATAAAATACGGCGCCGACGTCAATGCTAAAGACAAGGATGGATTGACAGCTCTTCTTTGGGGTTTACAGACAGGTAATTGTCTAAAATACTTAGTTCAAAATGCAAACAAGCTTTTGATTTTGTTCCTTTTGCAATCCAGGAAAAGATGAAGCTATTAAATTCCTCATAGGACACGGCGCCGACGTCAAAGCTACAACCAAAAACAATGAGACAGCACTTCATTATGCTGCACGGCGGGGTGATCGTTTGAACTCTTACTTTCAAACATAAACAATATTTTGATTTTGTTTCTTTTGCAACTCAGCACGTGTGGAACTTGTTGGACTTCTCATCAAAAACGGCGCTGACGTCAATGCCAAAGACATTCGTGAAAATACAGCACTTTATTGGACTGTAGACGATGGTAATCTTCTATAATCTTAATTCAAATTGCAAATAATTTTTTGATTTGTTCCATTTTCAATTCAGAGCGTAAGACTGTTGTTAAACTACTTGAAGCTGAAGCTGAAAGAATTCGGAGTCATAAACGGACATGGTATCTCGAAATTGAAGATAATGTGTGCAACTCTAGGGGGATTTCTCACTTAAAGTATGGAATAATTGTTTTGTTCTCCGTCGTCTGATTTCTACAATAAGTTGATCACAAATATTCTTTATTTTTCATAAATTGAAAAGATGAAAAACTGTTTTTGTACATCCCCTTTTGAAACACTCATTTCATTTTGATGATAACATATTTTCATTCACTTTTTGTTCATTTTCTAGTATTTGGATGGCCTTTTGTGATACTTTTCCTTTTTATTATCCCGATTTTACTGGTTGCAATGCATTTACACGATTTGACCTCACTTCAAAGTCGACTGCTAACAGGAAAATTGATCGGTCGTGGCAATTTCAGTGATGTGTGCGAGGGGGAATTGTTTCCAATAAATCCATTTTCCGAAAAGAAAAAAGTTGTTGTGAAATCGATCAAAGTCAGCAAAGGAACTGCCACGAAATTGGGGGTATGTTTAGCAACGGGTTAGTGTTCTTTTATTGGCTTTTGATGGCTAATCTTTGAAATCTATTATATATATAGGGTACAACTGAATTATTGGCGGAAATAAACATTCTAAAATGTTTGCCAAAACATTGCAATGTTGTTGGTTTTATTGGGGCATTCGGCATTAGGAACGCTCTCAATGGTAAATTTGGATCTATTTGAAAGTGTTTTTTTTTTTAAGCCATTGAAAAATATAAACCGTTTGGTTTTCAACAGGTGGAATAAAGATTCTTTATGAATTCTGCCCATATGGTGATCTCAAAAGTTTCTTCAAGAAAAATAAACCAACTTGTTAAAAAGGCAGTCCAAGTTTTCAAAATTTTGATAATCGTTCTAAAGCAGTTAAAATATTCACATAATTTGATAATCGATCGAAATATGGTCCAGAATTAGGTGAAAAAACAAAGGAAAGCTAATTCATACATAGGTGCATGCGCTCTCCGGCTATACTACAACACCAGGTTATATCAGAAACACAAAAGGTGCTTTTTGTAAATATATGTGTGTTGTAGAATATCTTTTAAAATTAGCCTTTTCTGTAGGAAATGACACATTCCGTTCACCTTTATCACCTACCTTCTCATATACAACAACGGATCTGCTTAGTTGGGCGGCTCAAGTGGCAAGAGGCTTATTATCTTTGGCTTCGAATAAACCTCCCATCATACATTGTGATCTAGCTGCTAGAAACATTCTGTTTTGTGATAATAAAACGGTTAAAATTGGTGATTTCGGTCTATCACGGACACTGAACGGAAGTGAATATTATAAAAAAGACGGTTCGGTACGAATGTGCACAAATGAACAATGTCTTTGAATTAGAATTGACGGAGATGTGTTTTATTCACAGGCTCCTGATCCAGTTCCATGGATGGCCATCGAGTCTCGTCCAGATACAGGAATGGAACAGAAATTCACTGTAAAATCTGATGTTTGGTCGTTCGATGTCGTAATTTGGGAACTATTTTCGGATGGAGATGATCCAAGTTACTTTACAATCAAAGAATTGAAAAATGGCACCCGATTACCACAACCCAAAAAGGCTATGGAAGAAATGTGAGAATCGAAGAGTACACTTCATGAGCTATGGACTCTTTACGAACGACGTTTAATAATAATAATATTAACTTTTGCAAATAGGTATACCCTCATGTTGTCATGCTGGCAGGAAAAACCAAAGAATCGTCCAAAATCTGATGATTTAGAAAAAATACTTTCAAAAATGCATTCGGATGCACTGGAAGATGATGGAGACATAGATAACGATGATGAAAGCTTAATAGCCGTGAGAGTAGATGAAGCAAACCCAGAAGTCAGTGCAAGCATATATTTGCCAGAGAGGACATCCGATGCAACAGAGGAAAATGGTTCCAGTTTGAGCTAAAATTCACCTTCATAATAATCAATACAGCCATTCTTATCCTTTCAAAGTTGCAGTTTTGTAATGATTGGAACATCGCGTTCTCAGATATTTCGATTGATGAAATTGAGCAAAGAGTATGTTTCATGGATTTTGTTGTGGAAGAGGAGATTCGATTTCTTTCGACTTCCAACTGTTCCATGGAGATAGATTGGTGTTTGGGCGCACATGTGTGCAAGGGGGGTGTATTCCGGTTTTACCCCCCTCTAGGATTCCAAAATGTGGACCTCCCCAGCGATTTGGAAAATTTGACACTAGATATAATCGATTTTCAAAAGTGAGGCAAAATCCTTTTACACCCCCCACCCCCCCTAGAATTTTTGACCGTGCACACGTCTGTTTGGGCGGGTTGTCGTAGTTTTTTTTACCCAAATGATTAGAGAAATCTGTTATCTCTTATCAATTACGCGAGAAACGACAACAACCCAAAAAATGTACTTCCACTCTCTTTTAACGCAAACAGAATCATCAAAAGCTTACTCGACGCCCAGTCCCACCCATAGTTTTGATATAGATATTTCCTTACTGAAGAACAGAAGTGAATAAGCATTGTACTTATGTTTACTCAGGCTTGAAGAAATTGGGTTCAAAGAATGACTACCAGATTTGCCCTATTTGAACTTTTCATGATATTTGTACGTGAAATTTATAAGTCCATCTATTGAAAAAACCCAAAATCAATGAAAGTTCAAAGTTTTTCATAGATTATCTATGGTATTTAGATGTGACACATACAGCGCCATCTATTGAAAAAAGTCACGATCGTGTCAAGTTGAAATAAGGCAAAATAACCCAGAAAATGGTTGTCATTCTTTGAATTTAGAAACTACACCTCAATATCGAAGAAAGGTTGTGGATTACTGTAATCGATAGTCTACTTAAATTAGTTACCAATAAAATTATAACAATATGGACAATCATAGAGTTAGTATGATTGCCATAAATTACAATATATTTTTATGAAAATTTTTTCTTTGCAAATATCAATTGATGAAAATTTTTTTGATTCATTATTTATTTACCACTTGCCATTAAGCACCCGACAGAAACCATCGAAATAGAAACCGGTTCCGGTAAGTGAAAACTTTTGAGAAAAATTCTCCCCAATTAAAACAAATTGAAAGAGAAATAACAGAAAGATAGAGATCAGTTGAAAGAGAACACGCATCACTTTAATTTAAGACTTTTTTTTATTTATTTTTTTAAATATTCATTACATTTAGTTACAAGACTCTTGCAAATAAAATAATTTCCGAATATTACGCAAACAATGAAATGTGAGTAGATGTTTTACAATCCAAATTCGCCTCTAATGAGAGTTGTATTCGTTTGTTGTCCTGGTGCAATTTGATTTATATTTCTAAAACGACGCATTATTCACTTGTGTTGTTTTTTTTTTCATTTGTTGTTATCGTGGGAAGAAACCACATTTTGGATATGAATGTGTATGCATATTGATTTCCAGCAGCTTGACACAATCGAAAGAAGAAAATTAATGGACGAGGAAATTTGCTTAGAGACCAGCTAAAATGATTCGTGGATCTTCGACACCTGCTTTAATTTTGCGTAGGAACATTACAGCTTCTCGTCCATCAACCAAACGATGATCATAAGTAAGAGCAATGTACATCATTGGACGAATGACAACCTGAAACAAATGAAAGAATATTTTTCGTTTTTATTTTAAAAACCGAAACAAAAGAAGAAAAAATCTCAGCAAGAAAAATTCTATCTTACAAGAAAAAGAACACTTCTTAACTCTTAGTCAATATCGAAAGAATTTTCATTTCATTTTTAATTTGTTAGCTAAGATTTAGTAAATCACTTACTTGTCCTTTGATTGCGACCGGTCTGTCAAAGATGCCGTGCATACCCAAGATCGCACTTTGTGGTGGATTGATGATTGGAGTTCCCATCAGTGAGCCAAACACGCCACCGTTACTAATTGTGAAGGTGCCGCCGTCCATGTCTTCCACGGCAATGGCGTTGCGTCGGGCCTTCTCGCCGAGAGCAGCCAATGCAATTTCAATATCAGCAAAGTTTTTGCTCTCTACATTTCGAATCACGGGCACAACAAGACCTTTCGGTGTGGCTACGGCTACCGAAATATCAACGTAATCACGATACACAATTTCCTAAATGGAAACAGAATTTTTAAGAAAAGTTGGACAAATACGCTGAAAAAATTTAATTTTAGTTGATGCAAGATGGTGAATTTCAAGTGCATTTTGTTCACCACTTGCCCAAAAATTAACTTAAATTCATCATTCAAGTTTTCAATAAAATCGTAATTGAGTTCTACTTACGCCACCGTCAATGACAGCATTAACGACTGGTTGGTCTTGCAAAGCATACGCAGCTGCTTTCGAAAATACTGACATAAATCCTAATTTAATTCCATACTTCTTTTGGAACGCATCCAAATTTGCTTTACGGAATTCCATGATTGCACTGCCGATGAATGAGAAATGTTCATAATTTTAAAGTGAATAGAAAGGTAATGTGTAATATATTTACCTCATGTCAATTTCGTTGAACGTGGTCAGCATGGCATTGGTGTTTTGTGCGTCCTTTAATCGTTGAGCGATCTTCAATCGCATACGATTCATCTTGACACGTTGTTCGGTTCTTGTGCCGGTGATTTCACGTGAGTAATCTTCAGGTGGCAATTTGACTGTTGCCTCAACGGCTTGCGCATGTCGAATGGCAGCGATTGGTACGGTTGATACGGGTCCGCTAGCCTGTGGAGCTGGTGCCGGCTAAAATGATACAGAGAATTGGAACGGTTTTGATTCAAATCGATATTTTTTTTAGTATAAAATGTTTCACTGTCGTAGGTTTTAAAATATGTCAATGAACAATAAATTCCATCTTTTTCAATTGGCAAAACCAACAACAACGACTTTTCATCCGTGAAAATGAAATTCAAACTTCCAAATAGCATAAAACTCACTCGGGGTGGAGGAGGTGGTGGTGGTGGTGTGGCAGGAGCAGCGCTTGGCTGTGGAGGTGCTGCTTGAGCTGGTGGTGGTGGTGGTGGAGCTGCGGCGGCTGGTTTTGGAGCTTCAGCTGCGGGTGCGGCAGCGGCTGGCTTATCAGCAACGTCTCCGGGCTTAATTTTGAACAAATCTTGGCCGGCTTTCACCGTATCACCATCCTGTACATAAATTGCTTCGATGGTACCACTGACTGGTGTTGGAACACCGACGGTCGTTTTATCAGTTTCGATTTCCATGACATTATCGTCAACACGTACTTGATCGCCTACTTTACACGTAAACCTACAAGCAAATGACGTAAACGGTATTTGTTTAAATAAAACAAGTACAAAGATCAAAAGTAAACCGCAAAAACATACTCCAATCAAATGAGATGTGGAAGAAAGAAAAAGTGCTCGGGTCAATTAGAATGTTTTCTAGTGCAAATCGTTACACAATGGTACATTGAATCGTTCATGTTGATTAAAAAAAAAACACAATGAAAAATTGAAAATGCAGACCAAAATAAAAAGTGCACTTTTTCAACTCATAATCAGCTGCTTTCATTCATTTGTTCATTAAAAATTGGGTGCATTTGAAATTTTTCATTTTTTTTATCACGACATGCACATCTAACTTGAACGAGATACACAGTTATGAAATTGAATTAATAGTTACAGTCAGGTGACTCATTATTTTGACATTTTCGTTTTGCAGCACATGAGTGTGACACAATAACAAATAAATAGTTTGGTTCACAATACACTTACTTCACATCACCTTCCGAAACAGAATCGGCGAATGGTGGCACTTTGATGAGTTCCAAGAGTGAATTGGTGGCATGAATGAATCGGCTTTGATGCATCCATTTCGTCGAGTTTGTCAACAGTCTGCAAAACAAAATTGAACATACAATCAAAATAAATTGGCGCACGTAATTGTCATGAGTGTTTAAAAAAAAAAATCAATAATAAATCGCGCTGATAACAGTGAGCCATTGTTATCAGTTGAAGCGCTTAACTTGTTTACTAACTCAGTTTGTGCCGCTTTTGATTTCAATATGTTGGATCCTTGGTTGCTCTGGCGATCATTTGCAAAATTGCGGTTAACCTTAAAAGAAATGCAAGAAATCATTTTGTTTATTATCTTGTCCAGCAAAAAAAAAGAGCCAATGAGTGAAATGGACTGAATTCATATTGCCTCCAAACATTCCAAAAGAACAAGAAACCACTCAATTCTGCCCAGAATAATTGCAAACGACCAATGCAAATCGCACTGGTACCCATTCATTATGTAATACATCGATTTTTTTTTAAAAGATATCAAGACACAATTCTTTACCGATGAAATTACACGGCAACCATTGCTGCACAAGCCCGATTTCAGCACATTTTGTGGCAATTTGCGCGTCAGCAACCACGTTACATTTGCCATCGTATTCTTGGGATTTATGTACAAATTCTTCTTTCACTTCTCGTTATTCAGATTGATTCGACTCTTGTTTGATGGTCACACACTGCACACCCCCGATATAAGTATTTTTCTTTTCGCATATACGAGAACTGTCGCACAAATGTCACACAATTTTTGACACATTCACTCAAGCTCTGCTGTTACTGCTCTCTTTCTCTATCGTTTTGCGTACATATAGCGAATGCATGCATGTGATATATCCCTATCGGAATACCTAGCCACTAGCAACTGTCAGTATATCTATTTTCTGTTGCAGCGAACATGAATTTCTAATTTGAATTGAATTTTCGACTACAAAATAACTCACATTTAGATGAATGATGCGAAAGAAGATCAAATGACGATTGAAATATAATGTGAAATGCAGATTTTGATTGGGGAAAAGATATCTTGTCTATGCTTTTTTTCTTTTCGATGATACGTTGCTATTGAGAGCGATGCATTTTCGATAAAAATGAAAAACAAACGAAATTCATTCATGAAATTATTTCATCATTCCATGAAATTCATTGAAAAATTTGGCTTTTATGCTGAAATAATGCAATAAAATGAAACATACTTATTTTCACACCCATATTTCAGAGTGAAAATTCTGTTTTTTTTCACAATACATTTTTTGTTGGTTAAAAAATAGAAAAATATATGTAAAACTCTAGAATCAATAAACTCGTCGCGAATATTTCTCAATTTTTCCCGGGTAGAAAATGTTATCAACTTCAACCCTCTCTTAAGTTGATTGGGAGTCAATTTCTCTTATTAAAGTCAAAGTCCCTTCAATTGGCCCAGCGAAGCGACTTGATTCGGTTAGCATAAAATAAAACCGCTGGAAAATTGAAATCTCTTACGTTAATTTCGTTTATTCATTAATGAAAAGTACTGAGATCAGTACTTGAGTCTTGGTTCTAATAAAATTAGGTGCGTGTGTCTAAGTTTATCTTTCTTGTTTCAACACAAAGTCTCACAGAAATTGGTAATTTGTCATATTTAAAAAAATGAAAATTGGAGTTGAAAACAAAAAAATCTCAGCAATTGATGAGTCTGTTGATCAAAATTTGATGGTTGAATTGGTGAGCATTTGTAATAGTGTGTTCCGTTCATCCGGATTGAGTGTGTCAATTTTGTCGTCAACAGTGGATGGAGACTGGCTTGGCACCTAAAAATAATAATGCAAAACAAAAATTATTAGATTTGTTTGACAATAACAACAACACATGAGCTTAAATTAACCGATAAAAAAGAAATCGATGGAATAAAACAAAATCTTCAAATAAAGAAAAACACTGTAAAAAAATTCGAATTACATTTGACGATGTTTGGGATGAGCGTGAGTTGTGACTCTTGCGGATGTGCTCTTCGAATTGTTGCAATGATGAAAATGATTGGTTACACTGGCTGCACTGTGCGACCACCATATTGAATTCATTTGGATGTCGTCGTTTGTGTTTGGTTTGTGGTTTTCTTAGCTGCAATAGTGAATCAGGTGATGGTTCATCATGGCCATTGCCATTGTCAATTGACTTGAAATGATTTGGAATTGGTGTGCTGCTAAATGCTGTGTTCATTTGAATGTCGCCACCGCTGCCGCCATTTTCAGTTGTTGTGATAAAACTATACGCGTGTTGATTGTTCTCCAACAAATGATTTTTCTGAATGCTAACATTTGGCTTGCCCTCCAATGAGCTGAGTAAATTTGGTAGCCGAACCGATGACAGCGAATCAATATCTGTATTTATGGGTTTCTTGAGTACATTATCGCATGAATCCAAGACATTATTCTTCTTCATTACTTTATCATCGACATTTGTCGATGGGCTGTCCGACACTTCTTTGTAGCATGACGTCAACGATTTCACCATTTTCTTGAGTGCGAAAATCATTCGTCGATTGAATTCATTGGCCGAAAGTGCACGAGATTTGCGCATCGACAACAATTGATAGCCTTCCGTAATGAATTTGTTCAGTTTTAGCTCGATGCATTCCTTTAGGTGCTGATCAAATGATTCTTTTAGCATGAATCTCTGTTTGCATGCATCACATTTACGTTCGCGCATTTCATCGGGTATCGTAATAACAACGGATTTGTGCACAAAATCCGTGATATCATCTTCGGTGAAGCTTTTTTCTTTGTAGTTAAACATTGTCGTCGATGTAGCTGCATCGTCCGCTTCCTCATCGTCGGAATCATCACATTCACCACCGAACGCTTCTTCGATTTCCATCTTCAGACTGTCAAATGTTATGCTTTCCGGTGCTAGATTCATGTCATTCCACACCGTATCACCGCCACCACCACCGCCATTGTAGTCATTCTGCATCAGCGCCTTAATATTAAATGGCTCATTGCCCGGATAAAACGTTTGCTGCCGTATGCAACGGTCATTGTTGATCACTTGTTTGCGAAATGTTACGGCATGTTTCAGATATGTTATGCATATCGTGCATATCTTTTGCGGGTAATTCTTTTCATCTTTGGTTAACTGTTTTTTGTTCGAAAAAGAAAACAAAATCAAAATTACCATTTCGCGAAATAAAAGATTTCTTTGTTCTGTACTCACATAAATGCCCGAAATATCGGCGATATATTCAGCAATTGTCTCTCTCCAGAAACGGAATTCATTTGGATTTGCGTGGACATTGACTGGGATTCGGCCAAATGCATCATGTTCACCACTTCCTGAGCACACACAGCACAATTGCTTCGCACTTTTATTCATATTTCGTTTAATAGCTGACACAAAATAGATGGGACAAACGACGACACATTTACACAACAAAAGCAGCAAAATGAAACAGCGAATGGAATTATTTACACTAGACAGAGATTTGTCAAGACATATGACACTTAGTGAATACAAAAAAAAAAATAAACCAAACAATATGAACATCGTTTTGTAGTGACATCTATTGACATAAACTAAATCAGAGACCATGAATACCATTTTGACCGATAATATTATTTAATTCTATTTATAATGATGAAATAGTCAACAAAAACAGTTAAAAACCATGATTTTTTTTTTAACTAAAAACATGTTTTTTTTTGTTTTACAGAAACAGATGATGGTGTTGAAATACTTGGTCGAATCGAACATGCAGGAATTTACCCACGAACACTTTTAGTCTGATATAATTTAGTTTCGAACATTGCTGTTCAGTGAATAAGAGTAAAGTGAACATTTTTTTCACAATGTTTCAGTTGTTGCATGATGTCAATTTGGCCAAAAACGTGTATTTGTTACGATTGTTGGCTAGAAGTGAAGTCTTTTCATCATTTTTTCTACCTTACGATTGAAATACTTTATAACAAAAGTGTAAGATTGAAGAAAAAACGAAACTGGACCCATTTGACGGAACGAAGGCTGAAAAAGTGATTGCATTTGATGAAGTGGTTCAATCAGCTGAAGAAGGGCTTGGATTAGAAAATATTGCATAAGGATATCATTAAACTACCTGATTTTTTCCACGAGCAGAATGTCAGAAATGATAACCATTCCCAAAAATATCTGAAACACAAGGAAAATCCGCTAAATCTCATTCATTTTCTCTGAATTACTTGTTTGAATGAAATAAAATATATTTGAATAAAGCGTGTGTTAAGTGGCACCAGTCAGGCTTCCATATGTTTGCATTGATTTTTGAACTTTGACAAGTAAGCTTCTACAATGGACGTTAAATACGAGTGGAGACGCCACAAAAATGACTCCGAAATAGTCGATTATTGATTGTACTACTTTAAAAACCAGTAAATTCAGAACAAAAACCATTTGCATCAAAATTGTTTTTCATTTTGTTTAATTACAATTCAATTGATTCCTCGTTTATAATATTAGAGACTTTCAATTTTGTTAAATAACTGGGCTGCTTTATTTTCTTTCTGAGAATGATAAGCTCATTAGTAAATAACCCGGTTCGGTGTTTAACATCAAATGTGTGCGAATAAACAATGTTTTGTACATCAACTATGTATATATCGTAATAAATCGTGTGACTTTTGTTTTTGATTTTTTTTTCTCTGTTTGTTCAAATTATTTTCTAATCAAATATTCGGTTTGATATTTTTGTTATTGTTTTGTGCCATTTTCAACGAATCTCAACTAACTACGATTATTGTAATTTGTAAAGCGTTGAGTATCAAGTCCATTTTTGTTCGTAATACTATGCCGGTAAACAATTGTGAAACGAGAAGAAAAATCGTTCAGTATTTGTGTGCATATATGTGTATGGTCAACTTATTATTAGTATGAATTTTATGCCAAATTTGTATCCTAATGGTCAAATGAGAGAAAAGAAAACGAACGGTCAATAGCAAAATATACACATGCTGTATGTGTACGATAATAAACATTTTATAGGTTAACATAAATTCATTAATTTTTTTTAGTTTCATAAAAATTTGGGCACTGATTTCTTCTAACACTAAAAACTACGAAACGAAGAAAACATATATCGTGCGTTAAACATAATAGTCGATTGTAGTTTGTTTAACCAGTTTTGCGTTATTTTTGCTTAAATTATCGACTAAGTTTGATTTTGGTTGTTCATGTTCCTGTTCTTTTTGTGGTTGTAATGGTGTTGGTGGTGTTGTCTTTTGTGCAATGCCATCGTTGCTGCTGTTGTCCTTTTGATTTGAAACTGGATTTTCGACGGTTGTCGCTTTTACCGCACGCAATCCAAATGTGTAACGAATACGATTATTGCATTTGCGCGACTCTTTTTTATTAGTATCATTTCCTATTTTGATTGGAACACTTGTCGAAAGGAGCAATTGTTTGTCAACATCTTCATTGTTTAAACTTAAACTTGAAGTTAATCGCAAACATGACTTTGGCGATCCACTTGCTATTGCATCGTGTTGCTCCGAATTTTCGACACCGGATGCTGAATGCTACAAATCGCGATACATTCGAACATCTGACTGATGATGATGATGATGATGATGATTGTGGTGATTTTGCGGTATGGGACTATTCTCCGGAGAAACAGCCCCGACGCCGGTTGGCAGTGCTGGATTCTTCGTCTACAAAATGAACAAGCGATTAGAATTGTGTGTTTGTGTTCGAATGAGATGAAAATGAAAATTGTGGGTAGAATGAAAGAAGAAAATGTTGTTGTTTGAAAATAATGTCATCACATAAGCATGGATAGAAAAATGATGCGAAGATATACTTGATAAAAAAATTTGTTTTTTACACTCTCTGTTAATTATTTTCATACACTTGGACATTTTTCACTTGAATGTCAACAAATAACAACAGCTATGCTTGTGTTTTGATTGAGAGAGTTAGTTGATTATGTGCAAAGCACTAAACTTACATTAGTGTTATTAGTAGAAGAAAGAATTGGACTCTTTTGGTCATTTTCACCTGAAAGGGATTTTTGATTAGTTACACTTTCGCTACACACAGCTATATTTTATTCAACAATTCAATTCGAAATTTATTCATTTTTTTTAATTGCAAAATACGATAGGAAATAAAAACGTTATTCAAAAATTAGAATTCAAATCAAGAATCAATTTTAAATAAATTTATTAAAAAAAAGGGATATTAAAATGGAAATAAAATGAAATTGCGTACAAATGATAGTTATTGAATTAAAACATTACAGTTGATGGAAAATAAATGTTGTTCAATGAAGCACTTACCTGATGCTCCTATTGGGCAAACTAAATCGCCCCATTCATCGCTTGGTTTGATGTTCTTCTTTCGTTTTAACGTGAATTGCGACTTTTTCGGTGTCTACAGGAAGTTAGACGAATATTTCAATACAATTATATTTTGAATTTATTGTAAACTTTTTTTAACATGCTAAAAAAATGTGAATTTTTTGAAAATTTAAAATTATTCAAAAATTCTCATTTTTCATCTTTATCTAAATTTTAAAAAAAATCCTTTCCTGCATTGCGATTACCTTAATTTTAGAGGTCAGTGTAAGTGGTTGATAACCTAATGTTGTTTCGGCTTTTCGTTTATTTTGAATGATATCGCGGCCGAGTAAATCTTTGAAATGTGTGCACAAATGTCGTCGGATCAATGATTTTGTGGCTGGTATGCTGAGCAAATCGGCAAGTAATTCGTCAGTGAATCGATCTTCGTAAACCATAAGCGCCCCATGTACACCGGCGCCGCGTAAATTCGGTGCATATTCGGCCAAATTAACGACACGCAACCATTCCATCACACGGTGTGCCGTCCACAAATGTATATCTTTCAATAAATCACTTGGCGAATACACTTTTTCATCATCAATTTGCTGATTATACGATCGTCGCACTAAACAATCGGGATTCCATTTGTTTTCTCGCATCACCTGTATCGCTCGACGAAGACTGAAAATGTTTGGGCAAACGGTTTAGTTACAATTTTGTTTTCGTTTTGTTTTTGTTTACCTAGCTGCATGAAGTGACGATGTGACATGAAGTGTGGCCAAATCTTCTAGTGTTAATCGGTGAAGCATACGGCCGTCGATGCGAGCATTCGAAAAAGCATCCTTGTGTTGCGGCAAGCCAATGTCATCTAACCATCGCATTACCTGAACATAAACATTTTTTGTTATTACCCATGTTCAATCCATTAGTCATAATCGTTTCTTTTCATTTCACTCACCCAAACCATATCTAATTTTCCGGAATTAACGAACAATTCATCGGTGTCCTTGCCAGTGACATCCAGTAAGGCTAATACGATTTTCTTGCGATGTAATGCGGATTTTAAGTTGATTTCTTTTTCAATGTCAAGGGATGAGCAATTTATCAGGTCGCTACCACCATTTTTGAGCCACTTTTTCAGATCATCCTCATAAATGCCCAATCCCATCTCTTCAAACCAACCACACACCGCGTCCACACTCCATTCCGCAAATGGCTTCGATCTCTCATTGTTTAGTCTGAAATACACAAAAGTACAGGCTGTTTAAAAGTGAGAATCGTGAGGCAAATTAATTATAGATATCCCAGGACTGTAACCGATTTCAAATCGAAGTAATTCTTTACAACAAATGAACATGAAATAACACCATATTTTTTTTTGGCAATGTTTCGAATTTGGTGAATAAAAATGGAAAAAAAATCTGCATAATTTTCATCCAAAATTTTTTCTGACCCGACATAAATATTCTTTTTGAGTGAAATGTTGAACTAAAACTCTTAAACTTAAAAAAGACGTTTTTTTTACAGAGATAAACAGAACAGTTAAAAAGGAGTCGAAAAGTCGTCTCATTTTTTTCTCTTACCGAATATCTGTAGTTGGTGCACCACTCCAGCCAAGTCGTGGTCCAGCTGTAGCTCGAATGCCGCCTCGTCGGAATTCGCCACCGTCCAAAGGTAAATCTTCCAGATTGCCACTGTTGCTGCGTCGCAATTTACCAAAAATACTCCGTAAACCGCCCAAACTCTTGCTTTTGCTACTCATTGAGCATGGCGATGGCGATGATTGTTGGCGCACATCAATGTCATCGATAATCTTCTCGGTTTGAGCTAAATGTGTAATAAAAAAATCGTTTAATAAATTCTAACCCATAACAAAAGATACTTTTCCAAACAAAGAGTGTGGAAAAGAACAGAAATTCGAAAAACAAAATTAATTCAGGACAAAACAAATACATTGCGATTATTGAAGAAGCAAATTTGAATATAAAAAAATTAGCAACAAAACACAATTGATATGCAAAAAAATGAATTGAAGTCATGCGTAAAAATTAGCCAAAAAATTGGTCTATTTTTTCGAGGGAGGATGATTACATTTCAAAGCAGGTTTTATCGATTAATATGTGTGTGGCATACAAAAGAAATATTGATTTATTAAAGTATTATCGTGATCAATTCACGAATTTTCACATTATAGATTAAAAATTGAGAAGAAAAAAAAACAACAACAAATTGAACGTGTTCCAAGTTCAGTTTTCTGTAATGCAAACAAATTCGAGGACGCATGCATGTGTTCAAATTAAAATCGATATCAAATTAACACACGATTTGCATTAGAATTTGAAAAAAAAAATTAGAAACAAAAAAGAAAATAGAGTCAATTGTTGAGCATGCTAGATGTGGATGCTGAATACGTGTGTGTGTAAGAGAGAGAGAGAGAGAGAGAGAGAGAGAAGTAAAAAACAAAGAAGAGAAATAAAAAGAAGCGTAACGGAACGAGCAAGCGTGTGTGTGTTTGTGGATAATTTTGGTAAACCTAAGTTTGGAACAGAGACTCCTTTTTGTTTTTGAAAACCGTCACACAATGACGGTGATGTGGATGTCGGTTCGGGTTGTTGACAAAGAACCATTTGTTGATGACATATATTCGAGGCAGATTTTGTCGCTGAATGCGGGATGTATTGATTCATAAGTTGTTTACCGAATGCGACGGCATTTCGTTTTGGATTTGCATTTGAATCGATGGACGACGAATTATTGGCCGAACTCGATGCCGATTGTATGGGTGTTGATGTGGTTGGTGCAGACGCTCGCGGAAGACTATTGTAATGGATATCAACTTGCTGACGACGATATGTTGATGGCGGTGTCTGTAGGCAGAAGAGCATGCAAAAAAAAAACTCGATAAAACTGTGTATATTTAGCTTCCCTTTCGGTTTCACAAAATACGGTTCGTTTTAGATTAATGAATGAACAACGCACCATTGATCCGGATGAAGAGTTGGTGCGTATTCGTGTGTTTGGTACGGGCGGCAATCTTCGATCCGTTGCAATTGTATTATTATTAAAATGTGAGGCGCGTAGCTCCAAATTTTCGCGCTCCAATACGGCTTGCTGTAATTTGAGCTCGCTCATTGCTGACATCAGCTCCAGTTTTTGTGTTTCCAACGATGAACGTGTCAGTCGCTCCTGTGCGTGCATGTGTGTGTGTGAGTAGATGGAGAGAAAATGTACACGAAAACAACACCAATTAATGATTGAATTAATGAATTTGATTAACTGTATCGACCAGAGATTGCATATTTGCTGCTGAGTAGGCCTGAGCTGAGCTGAATTTGCTAACTCAGGCGCCTGAAGCGTTATTTTAACGCATTCA